CAAGGGAAAATTTCTGAATTGAAATAACATCACTTCTGGTTTGCATCAAAAATTATTATATAGTGAAGGGCACCTCCTGCCCCTAAGGTTTCCATATCTGGTCTTGTCTTTCATCTATCTAACTCAATTCTCATCTATCTAAGTCTTTCATCTGCCCATATGTTTGTCTACCCATATGTTTCATCTGCCCATATGTTTGTCTACATAGGTCTAATTGTAGACCTATAAGTTCCCACTGTTGTCTATCTGTCCATCTGGATGGACATCCAGATGGACAGATAGACAACAGTGGGAACTTATAGGTCTACAATTTTTTCAAATTGCAGCCCAAAAAGTTCCAGGATTCATTAAACAATCCCAGTTGGAGGAGATGCAATGTCAAAGTAGACATTAATGAATACTTTTAATTGCAACTCAATCTAGTTTAATTTCACTTAGATGCAGAGAAAGAATCATTGGAGAATGAGGAAAAGAAATTGGGTCTAATCAGAATGTTTAACTTGGAGACAAATCCTTTAAAAACCTAAATTTCAAGGACAAGAGAATTTTTTACAATCTGTTAAATGCTTGTCTACGAGGACTAAGCTTATTAATAAAACATATTGCAATGGTGTTTTGGTTTTTGTAACTGAGGAAAAAACTTATTCAGAAAAATAAACAATCTTTATTTTTGCCTTGTATTATACAGGTATAATACAAAACAAAACAAAAACACCATTGCAATATGTCCTATTAATAAGCTTAGTCCTCGTTTACAAACATTTAACAAATTGTAAAAAATAAGGACATAGAGGAATATGATTTATCATATTCCTCTATGTCCTTATAGAGGATGATTTATGATTTATCATATTCCTTATGATGATGACTTATGATTTATCATATTCCTCTATGTCCTTAATGTGTCATTCCTCTATATGATTTATCATATAGAGGAATGACACATAAGTAGTCTAAAAAACTTGTAAAGTTTTCAAAAAACTATACATAGTCTTGAAAACTTTACAAGTTTTTTAGACTACTTATGTGTCACTAAATTTTATGATTTTTATGATTGTATTATTATTGATTATAGCAATTGTTAAGTCATACTGCGATTCATACCACGAAAGACAATATAACGTGATAAATGAAGATACCGTATCAATGTAACAATCCAACTGAGGATAAAAAGAAATGTGTAAAATCCTTAAAGGTATTAGTAGTGTGTTCATGTTGTTACTTAACATCTAAATACTTTGTTAGTTTTTTAATCTGTAAAAATTTTGTCAACTTAATTTCTATAATTGTAATTTATAGAACACTGAAGAGGAACTGGAAATGTGAAACCAGTTCGAAATGCATATGTAAAAATATAATAAAAGAATTCATTAACCTGATGCTGTAAGATAGTCTACCGAAAGAATTTGTCGGATTAAAGAGACAACCATTCACAAACGAATATACAGCTATAACCAGTAAATTCAGTATTTTTCTTACTTTCAATGGAGGATAGAAGTATAATCTTTGAAAGCCAGGGAGCAGGCACACCACAAATCTCCCAGCGGACTCCTTCAGCCAACGAGGACATTAACTCTACGTCTTCTTCAATCGAAGAAGGCATAATTAGTAATGCTCAAATGCAGCTGAGAAAAATTATGGACTTACTCCTGGAGCATTACCTTAGCCACATCAAAACGGAAGAGTGTAAGGAAATTAAGGAAAGGGTCACGCATCTTTTCGGTGCAGTACACCAGATGTACCTATGAGTAGGTATTGCCTGAATCATTTTCTCTCACCTATGAGAAAATTCGTCATTGGGTGATGATTTATTGGCAGTGTTGTCATTGTAGCTGAGATGGTGTTTTCTTATTTGGTAACGACATCAAACCTTTGTAGAATCATCATTGCGTTGATGTGACTCATCTTTGCTTTGGGATAGTTCTCAATCATTATTCATTGATTGCTTTGACTAAGTTCTTCATTTAATATGTAAACATTGTAGAGGTCCGAGCCTCGTAGTGCCGAAAACAAAAGGGGGGAGAAGTGTGATATTCCCCATTTTTATATATATATTTTTTAATCCTTTACAATTTTAATTATTTAATTGCTCTTTCCTCTCTTCCTTGGCATGTTGTGAAATTTCTGATAGTTGGATAATAAACCATTTTATTGTAATTTGTCTTTTTAAATTATTTTGAGTTGATATTAAAATTTGGAAAAGGGGGATACCTAGATCGGTAAAATACATGAATTTCTTCCTACAACTTCGGTTGTTGTTCGGGGTACAGTTAAGGTTTTAACAAAGTTTGAGCGAATACATAATTAGCAAAAAATAGTTGAAATAAAGTCATTAAACAAAAATTATTACAAATATCGTAAATAACAGTTCACAAATGCATATATAGAGATATTTTTTG